TAAAGATTCATATTCACGTCGTGCAACATCCATACGATTGAATAAATTAAATTCACCTTCAGTTCGAGCAGTCATCTATGAAAAAAAAAACAATAAATAAATAAATCGTTTAATAGAATCCATAGGAAAAAATAAAGTCATTAAAATAACTTACTTGATTAAGAATTTCATCATCTGGTATATCTTCATCATCATCTTTAGAATCATCTTCACCTTCAATTAATTGTTCAAGATAATCATGTCGTTCACTTGATGTTGATGAACGATTAAACATTCCAGCTTGTATAACTTTTTCATCAACATTTAATTTATATCTTGCACAAGCTAAGATTTTTTCTTCAATTGTATTAATTGTCATTAAACGTAAAACTCGTACTTCATTTTTTTGTCCAATACGATGTGCACGATCTTGTGCTTGTTGATCTTGATGTGGATTCCAATCAGAATCAAATAAAATAACTGTATCAGCTTTTTGTAAATTTAATCCAACACCACCAGCACGTGTTGATAATAAAAATATAAAACAATCTATTCTATCATCATTAAAATTTTTTAATAATTCACAACGATCATCAGCTTTTGTTGTACCATCTAAACGTAAATATGTATAATTTCTATATGCAAAATAAATTTCAAGTAAATCCATAACAGCTGTCATTTGACAAAATAATAAAACTTTATGTCCAGTTGCTTTTAATTTTGGTAATATACGATCAAGTAATTCAAATTTACCTGATACACGAAATAGATCAGGTCCATTTATAAAACCGTCTTTATAACCAAGCGATTGTGCTAAACGTTCTTCAATTTCTTCGAATAAAAATGGATGATTACAAATTTTACGTAATTGCATTAATTTATTCATTAATGCACGACGACCACTTTTACCATTTTGATTTTCAATAATTAATGTACGATTTTTTGACATAGCATGATAAAGACAACGTTGTAAGGCTGATAATTCACATTTTATTATATATTCAACCTAAAAAGATTATATAAAAATTTAGTTATTATTTTAAATATACGTTTCCTCAGAAAAAGTGGAAAATTGTTTTCTGTTCATACGGTTTCTGATTGTGTATCCTCGAATTCTCAAAGAAGCTTCATTGTAGTCAATTACATTTTTTTTTGTTTGCAAGAACATGTGGAGCTGCAGGATCCCGGTTTTTTTTTCGAATTAAACTTTTTCATTATTATATAAAAATGAATTTCTATAAATAGATGACCACTTTTCAATTTAAAAAAGAAGGGACACATCAGTCTGATATGTTCTCTTCCAAATGAAAAAAACTAAAAAGTTGATTATGTTCTATAAAATAATTCGAAGCTACGACATCTTTCGATGAAACTTAATGTGAAATTAAAACGCCCTTCTTTATTGAATAATGGTTTTAGCTACATTCTATACAAGAAAAAAACTGATAAAAATAAGACAAACAAAGTCTACTGAACCTTCCTTTGATCAAGCAGAAAAGCATGGGAAAAAGCTTTCTCGTTGAACAGTTTATTAGTATCTTCCGATATTGTAAACTATTTTGACTTTTCCTAGGAATATTGTTGATAGATTCTCCATTTCTAAGGACAAACATTTAATATTTATCTTCAAAATAGTCTATGCTACTTGTATATGTGGATAGTATCTTTCCTTCTAATAATAATTTGTAAATAAATACTAACTTTTTCTGGTAATTGTGATTCGACTTCTTTTTTAAGTCGACGTAATAGAAAAGGTCTTAAAACTTTATGTAAACGTCTTATAATTAATAATGTTTCTTCATGATTTAATTCAACTTTTTCACTTGGTAATGTTGCAAATGGTGCATTAAACCAATCAGTAAATGTTGTTGAACATTTAAATATAGTTGGTAAAATAAAATTTAATAATGCCCATAATTCTGGTAGATTATTTTGTAATGGTGTACCAGTTAATAATAAACGATGTGGTGCATGTACATAATATGTATTTAATATTTGTGTTAATTTACAATGATGATTTTTCATTCGATGACCTTCATCAACAATTAAATATTTCCATGATATTTTTGATAATATTGAACGATCACGCATTATATATTCATATGTTGTTAATAAAACATTAAAACGATTTGTACGTATTGTTTGTCCAAGCATTTTACGTACATGTGGTAAACCTTTATATTGTATAACAACAACATCAGGTGCCCAACGTTGAAATTCTGCAGCCCAATTTGATAATGTTGATAATGGTACAATAATTAATGATGGTCCTGGATTTTTTTTACAATCAATTAAATAAACAATTAATGCAATTGTTTGTATTGTTTTTCCAAGACCCATTTCATCAGCAAGTATACCATTTAAATTATTATTATATAATGAAACAAGCCATTCAAGACCTTGTAATTGATATGGTTTAAGTTGTCCACCAACAAGCATATGTGATTGTTCTGTTATTGGTTCACGTATACGATGAGCTATAGAATAATATGATTCTTTTGCATCATATTCATCATCTTCATTTGTTGCAGCTATTTTAACAGCATCACGTATAGCTTCATCATTACCAGTTTGATCAACAATTGGACTACAAAAATATAAATTAATTTTAAAAAATAATTCAAAATTTTTTATTAAATAAATTTACGTTGGTTTTGATTCTTCCTCAGTTGTAGGTCGATTAATAACAGTTGTTACAGATTGTTCTGGTTTATCTGAAAGTGTTTTAGCTGGTCGTCCACGTGATCGATTAGCTTGTTGATGTTGTCGTACTAATTGTTTAAGATTATCAATATAAGCATCTGTTTGTGATAATAATAATGCTAAACGTGCATCTTTTTTTTCATCAACTAATTTTCTATAACCTTCTTCATCTTCATTCATTAAACGTTTAATACGTTCTTTTTCTTTACGTTCTTTTTCTCTAATTAATTCACGTTCATTATTAGCAAAATAAGCTTGAATTGCTTTATTCATTCGTATTGTTGATAATGAATAACGACGATGATATTCACGAAAATCACGTGCATGATTTTGAACAGCATTTAAAAATTCATGATGTTTAGCACGTTGACCTTGTTCAATTTCAATTTTACGTTGTTGTTCGTACTGTTCTGTTGAACGTGCTTCACGTAGATGATGACGTTTTGGACGTTTATATGCACGAGGATTAAGTGCTGTTTGTATTAATGTATCTTTCTATTAGAACAAAAAAAAAAAAAAACATAACCAGATAAATAGAATATTTAACTGATAAAATACCTTCATAGTATTAAGAATTTCACTACGAAGTTGTTTTTGAAATTGAAGTAATTTAAGTGATTTAAGTTCAATTAATGCTTGTGTACGTAATTCAACACTCATTTGAGCTGGCATATGTTCAAGTTCTTGTAGACGATTTGAAATACGATTAAGAACACTAAATATAATAAAGAAAAATAAAAAAGATGATAATGTAAAAATTAAGTTTTACAAGATACTGATGAACAGAAATGATATCTTGCCTTGAGACGAAAATTTGATAAAACGGTCATATTTCCATAAAAATTGGAAGAAATCCTTTCAAATATTTTCTAGTTTCCCTAACCAGAGAATCGCCTGAAGCAAGTCACCGCTTTTAAGCTCATATTTTGGGTATATAGAGAGGACCTCTAGACTAGAATAATCCTAAAAGGGTTCGGGTCCTAGAGAGTTATAGCAATTTTACTTGAACTTTAGCCTGTGGCATAGTATGTAGGAACAAATTGACTGACAATGTTTCGACCTGAAATTTTGTCCACAGATAGGTCTAATTGTGATTAGAATTCTCTGAAAATTTCAGGCGAAAAGAATGTTTGCTTCGTGAAATATTGAATTTTCAAAACTCATTCAGATCCCATAAAAGATGCGAGAATCTTATATTTTATCAACATTCAATATCTCGTGAAGAAAACATTGTTTTCAGCTGAAATTTTCAGAACATTCTAGTTATAAGTAGACCTATCTGTAGACAAAATTTCAGATCGAAAGTTTGTATATCCGGTGTCATAGACTAAAATTCAAGTAAAATTGCTATAACTCTTTAGGGCCCGAACCCTTTGAGGATTATTCTAGTCTAAAGGTCCTCTCTATATGCCTAAAATATGAGTCCAAAATCGGTGAATCACTTCGATCGATAATTAACAATTGGATATATTCTCTCGTTAGTAGAAGATTTTTGTAAGAATCAAATGATAAAAATTTAGTATCAAACAAAGTTTTCCACTAAGAATATTGAATTATACAGAAACACTATTTTTTCTGTACTAATATTTACCGTTTTTCTCGTTCTTGTTGAATATATAATGGATTAAGACAAATTGGATGTTGACGAATACGTGTAGGAATACTATCATCATCATTATTATTATTATTATTATTATCATTCATTTCAATTGATCCAACTAACCATCGATACATATTTGTTGCTGATGAAAATTTTAATGATGAATCACTATCATATTGATTATTTCCTAGAACGATAGTTGTTGGTTGTATTGTTTCAGATTGTTGTTGTTGTTGTTGAATATGATTTTGAAGTAAAGTAGCTAATTGTACTTTATATGAACATGATTGAAGTAAAGAATCTGACACAGGTAAATTGCGAGCAAGAAGACGATATGTAGATATCTGAGATTTAAGAACATTGACACGAAGATGATCAATTTCAGATGGATCAATTTTAATGACAGAAGCGGAATCATTATCCGCTGTTGCCATTATTAATTTATCTGAAAAAAAATAAAATTTAAATAATTAATTCTTTTCTATTTCAGGCAGCCAAACGTAGACAAAGTGCTGGTTCTATAAGTTCATCAAGAGGGAAAAAAAATCGACAACCAAGACCTTTTCCAGTTCTTACTCCACGATCATTTCTTCCAGGAGCTGCTGATAATAATCTCTATCCAGGTTATGTTGTTCCTCCTATAGGAACCAACCGATTTCCAGTATTAACTCCTAATTCAACTCTTCCTCCGCCACCGAATCGAATAGAATCGCCTCCAATGAATTTTAATAGAGAACCTGGCCGTCAACTAATACCATCCTCTATTCCAATGCCTTATCCTGAAATGAATCCTATGTCAATCATGCAATCATCAGATTCATCGTATAATTCAAAATTTCCTTCATATCCACATCATCGTCCGATACGTTTACCTGATCGATGTCGTTCTCGTCCTGTTATTCATATAATTGAATCAGATTCATGTTCATCAATATCAACTTGTTCAGAAATAAATTCATATCGTCACCGATCATATTCTTATCCAAGACAACGTCGAATTATCCAACAACAACAACCAATTATTCTCTTACCTATTAAATGCCAACCATCACAACAAAATATTTTACCTACAATACAAGTTCAACAACAACAACAACAAGGTCACGTTTTACCATCTATTTCAACATCTTTTGAAAAACTACAACAAACTCAAACTAGACCAATACAATATGTTCAAGAAGCACCACAATTACAATTTATATCAGTAGAACCACATTCAACAACAATTCCACAACATGTTCTTGTTAATAGTACGAATAAGAAACAATTAAATGTTATAAAATCAATTCAACGATCTATGACAACAAATAACTTACCACAAAATGATCTGAAATTTGAATATTGTCTCTTTGATTGATTGACAAGTAATCAAAGACAATATTCTAATTGGACAACGAGAAGAAATTTATATAAATTTTGTATTGTATTCTTTATGATAATTAACAATTGATTCTTTTTTTTTTTTATTTTTTTGTTCGCAAGTTATTAAGAAGTTTAATATTAAATATATAGATTAGACAATGAAAATCTATTTTTGTACGACGAATTATTTCAGTTAAATATTAATAAATATCTTGACAGAGACAAAGAAAAAATAACTAATCAAAATTATGTATATACATTTGAAGGAGGAACTGTCGTTTTTTTTTATTTGTTCTTTACTTCAAGCAATCATATATGAAATTTATAATATCTTCAATCTATAGATGTCGTAAGCAATCACTTGTTTTACCATTCGTTTGCATATAACAAGGTTGACAAAGATCAAAATAAGCTATTACACATAAAATTGTATATTATTTATTCTTAATAATTTAAACCTTAATAGCAAGACGGAAAAAGTGAAACAGTACTACATTGTTCGTCATCGTATTCACATAAGCTTCATCTTACTGGTAGAAAGAAGGCTACTTTCTCTTACCTTTTCCTATCGTAAACAAAAAAAAAATTATTTCTTTAAATTACTACTTACTGTTGAATATTTTGTTGGGATAAGTGTAAATAGAAAAATATAGTTTAAATTTTTTTAAATAATACTTATCATTGAATTTGATATTGAGAGAAATCTGAATACAAAAAAAAACTTGACTTATTTTTGTTAATTGATACTAATCATTGGATTTGATGTTGGATTCAAAAATAAGTCTTGATCGAAATGAGCATCTATAATCACGACTAAGTTATGATCATAAATGACAGTCGTTTACGTCTATGGTAAATATCAATTGTATTTCAACATATGTCGTCATATACGGTGATCGTATTCGTCCGCCATGTATGGCAGTCTTCCTTTGCCGTATATGATCGTATTTTTTCAACCTGAGAATACAAGTTATTGTTTAATTGATGATAAAGAATGCAATATGTTTATTTCATTTATAGAGTTTATAATTATAAGAAACAACGTATTTGTTTTGTTTTACAAAGGGGAAGGTGAAAAATAGAAAGAACCTTAATGAACAAATTAAATTGAATCATGCATAATATGCGATGCAAAAGTATCAAACTCTGTTATACTATATTGTCGACTTCTAAATCAAGAAAAACTTTTTTTCTTATTAGAAAGAGCCATGTTTCAACTGCAAATTTTGGTACCAGTCATATTTCTCCAGAACGAATCTGACGAGGTGGAGAAGTGCGAAATCTAACATTTCTAAAAAAGATTCTTACAACGTTTTTTCAACTTGAAAAGTCCGTATTTCTGAAATCTTTTGAGCTACATGAATAGATCAGATTGAAACAAAAATATACCAAAATGTAGCGTATCAAAAACTCTGTCAATATCGGCTTTGATAAAATTTGTTAGATCTGCGCGTGACTCTTTAATCAAAGAATTTTGAAAAATGAAATTTTTGTAAAATACAATCTTTTCCAAGAAATATCAGTTTGCAAGAACATCAGTCACCATCTCCAGAATTTAAAGCATGAACGAAATTTTTTTTTTTGCCTTATTTATTCGAAATATTTCAGATCATAGAAATCTAACAGAGAAGGTAATTCAAAAAAAGCATCTTTTTATCGTTACAAAATAGCCATATAGTAAGAACAATCAACTTATTTTTTTTAAAGAAAAAGCTATATTTTGATTGAAAAAAACCAAGAGTAAATTTAACTTGCAATACATCATTAAAAAAGAAGCATTCTTTATGCTACAAGAATTAGCATTAAACTTTTTTTTTTCATTTCTCTTCTGATTTAAAAAACATTAACAGACAATAAAAAATTTTGCTGCTCGATAGTAATCTTACAAAGATTTTTTTGAAGATATTTGGTTTTGGGTTTTTTCTCCTCGTCATATTCATTCTGCAGAAAATATGTATAGTACAAAATTTGTAGTTCAGACATCGCTCTTTCTAGCAAAAAAAACTTTCTTAATCCAGAAGTTGGCAATAAAGGATGTGAGTTGGTGAAAGTGAAGAGAATATTCCCGTCTACACCCACATCCTCACTATACCTTACCAATTGGCTGATAGTATCATCTTCGTTTTAGTTATCGACTGTTTGTATTTCCATTTTTCACGGTGATAATTTCAAACATCAGCACTATAATAAGAACATGTGTTTTGACACTTACATTTCGATATTAGTTAAGTAAATCAATTTTTCACAATATGATTGGTGGGTGTGGGTGCGTCAGTGAGTGCTGAAGAAGGAACTCATATTCTCACTTACACGTACACATCAACACCCAAAATTCACATTCACACTTTTCTCTATATTCGTTTAGTTTCATATTCAATTGTGAAAAATTAATTTGTTAATATATTTATTTGTGAAAAGTTGTTTTTTCATAAATATTATAAAACTATTACAATAGAAGCTCAAACTTAAATCTTAGAGATATTTTTCACTGACTTTTATTCGACTATTTAATCGAAAAAAGTTTAAACCTTCATGAAGTACATGTAAATGATTATCTGTACTATGTGAGAGTGTAAATGTGGGTCTTTGCTTTACCCATATTCTGTTCAAATCTATTTTCAATCGATGCGAATGGTTTAGTTACCAATCAAAAGTTGTCTTTCGAGAAGTCGAATTTTCAAAATAGATCATCATAGTATTTTTGAGAACATAGTTAAACTCAACTTTCGAATTTCAACATAAAAACTTCGTATAAAGACATTTTTAAGAGCACTCTGTTTTTTGCACAAACAATTGATGAAAAAAGTATCTGACCATCCCGTTTTAGTCGTATACAAAGACTTTATTCAAACAAACTCTTTAGCAAGTTGAATTCTTGTGAAACTCATGCATGGTAGAGAACTTTGTTTGCTCTATCCAACGAAGGCATTTGGAGAAAAAAAAACAACATGTTTCGAGATAGAAAATCATTTTTTTGTGGAAAATCATGAAATTTTTGAAAAAATAAATCTCTGCCAAATTTGGTGAAGTACTTCAATCGAAAAACTACTTATGTAGTTTTGTAGAGCATCTCATGTCGCATCGAATAGTATACAGTAAATAGCAGTTTCATTGATTCTTGATGCATTAAGAATCCGTGCATATGAAAAAACCTCAGTGTAGAGAAAATCATTCTGTGCATGCACGAAAATCCATTTCTGACATTGAAAAATTGTTCAATAATTCTAGAGAGGATCTTTGATCTTAATTTTTTTCTAGTGTTGATGTAGGACTCATCTGGTTATCCACCAGTGAAAAGAGAATTTTTGTAGTGTCTGCTCTCACACAAGGAAAGTGGTAGAAACTAGGCATAGGTATAAGGTGCTTGTATACGTCTACTCACTATATGTCTCCAAATCACTATTTGGATTCTTAATGCATCAAGACTCGATGAAAGTGCAATTTACTATATACTATTCGATGCGCCATGAGCTGCTCTACAAAACTATATAAGTAGTTTTTCGATTGAAGTACTTCACCAAATTTGGCAGAGATTTATTTTTTCAAAAATTTCATGATTTTCCGCAAAAAAATGACTTTCTATTTCGAAACATGTTGTTTTTTTTCTCCAAATGCCTTCGTTGGATAGAGCAAACAAAGTTCTCTACCATACATGAGTTTCACAGGAATCCAACTTGCTAAAAAGTTGGTTTAAATAAAGTCTTTGTATAAGACTAAAACGGGATGATCGGATACTTTTTTGACTAATTGTATGTAGTGTGTAGACAAATCACTTTTGTCAGAATGAATTTCTTGAAATAATTGTATTTACAAGTTAGTCAAAAGTTCGATTGGCTGTCGATCGCAATCAAGTAACATTCATAGCGGACATACGTGGGTTATCATTCAATGGAGTATTATCGTATATATTTCTCCTCGTTATTGTATTTCAAGAAAACAAAACAAATGAAAACAACGCCTATCGCTTTTCATACACGCAATCTGATGTTGTCTTTGTAGAAGAGTTTTATCGTGTTCCATACAATGTTGATGCCGACGCAACAATTATCCTTTCGTTTGTGTCACAGCTTGTGCAGAATACGCTCTATTTTGTCGAATCAAATATGCAAAAAAAAAAAAACGTTATTTGACTGTATGTGGGTGCAAAAGTGTGTGTGGATGTAAATATGGGTGAACTAAAGATTCGCACTCTACTTTTGTCCCCACATTTAATAATCGGTTACAATGAAGCTCTTTCGAGAATTCCAGGACAAGCGGTCAGACGAGTATACAGTGAGAAAAAAAGAAAAAGATTTTCAACCTTTTCTAAACAAAGAATGTTTTTCAGGCTGAAGATGACAGTAATCATCGAAAGCTTGTAGAAAAAACAACGAACCAGATAAAAGCTCATATTGATTATGAAAGATCCAACCGCAAGCTATTCTCTCATAAACTTATATTTATTTGCGATAATTTCGACGAAAATGGTCTTGTTTTGAGAGAGTATAACAGAAAAATCGTACACTGAATTGAGCAATGTAACCAAATCATAAGTCAGATTTTTTTAGACAAAGTTTCTCTTATTGTTTAATAAATTGTCTTTTCACTTTCAAAATAGTTCACTGATAACTATTACAAATTATTTTGAACATGCATTTTATAATAAATTCCATGTCGTTGTATCAATTCTGTATGGGTACCACTTTCCACTATATGTCCTCTATCAAGTACACAAATTAAATCACATGAACGAATAGTTGAAAGACGATGAGCAATAATCAGTAATGTTCGGCTAGGGTCTTCTGTTTGAGTTTGTTCAAGAACTTCTTGTATAATCTAGATGGGAAAAATGAAAATGGAGCTTTAATTGATAAAGAGAAAGAAAAACAAACTTACTTGTTCATTATGTGAATCCATGGCACTCGTAGCTTCATCTAAGAGCAATACTTTAGGTCGACGAATAAGAACTCGAGCAATAGCAATACGTTGTTTCTCACCACCTGACATAAAACTGCCTTTCATCCCTACTTTTGTCTCGTAACCCTAAAAAAAATATAATAAAATAGCAATAGATAGAATATATTATTTTGTATTGTTTAACCTGAGGTAATTGCTCAATGAATTGATGAATACAAGCTTTACTTGCTGCATTGATAATGTCTTCCATTGGAACATTTTCTAAGCCATATGCTATATTTTCAGCAATTGTTAAATCAAATAAAATTGGTTCTTGACTGACAAGACCGAAATGAGAACGAACCCAATTAAGGTTTAATTGTCGGATATCAATGCCATCAAGAAGCTAGATTGAGTGAATAAATTTTATCTGATTATTTAAACTATAAGTTGAAGAAATACTAACTAGTCGACCACTTGTAACGTCGTAGAATCGTTCCAATAGTTGAATTATTGTTGATTTTCCACATCCAGATGTACCTATACGCATCATATTACTTAATCAATATTTAAAACAAAACGTCTAATTCAAACATACCAACAAGAGCTACACGTTGACCTTTTTAAAGAAAAAAATTTTTTTCAAAAGAAAAATGATTAAACCGAAACTCAGCTCACTTACTTGGTTTGATATTTAATTGAAATTTGTTAAGAATAATAGATGCTGGTCGAGTTGGATAGAAAAATTTGACTCGATCAAATTTTATCTCTCCACGAAAATCAACCTACATGAATCGTATGATATCCATGACATGTACATGATTAAAAGAAAATGGTTATCTACTATGTTCTCTTACCAATTCTTGTCCTTGAGTAGATGTATTGTCAATAGCTGGTTTTCGATCAAATAAATTAAAAAACGCTTCAGCAGCTGAGAAGGATGCAGCGATTTGTCGAGACCTAGAATTGAGACAGTAGAAGAGAAAAAAGCTAAGTAGAGATCATGAATGTTACATCATTCCGATGGGCCGTAGCGCTCGCGACGAAAAAAGAGCAAAACCAAACACCCTAATAAA